TTAACAGCAGCATGATGAGCACTCCAAAGTTTTGTTGACAGTCTTTTCACCGACATCCCAGTGGTGTGTTCAATTAGAACTTTCCATCGATGAGTGGATGCAGCAAATAAGGAAAATATTCTTTCAAAAGTACCGAAAAATTAAATGTAATACTTGAAACATTTTCGGCAAAATAGTGTTGACCACACAAGTTAAGCGAATCCATTAAAAATCTCTTTCTTATTATTTCTTGTCAGAATGTCCTGGACACCTACATGGATTCCAGAAATTGTGGCAACATTATCGTAACCTTGAGCTCTGTACATCATTATGTCTAATCCATCACGTTTTAGATTTGTAAGAATGTCAGATTGGGATCATCAGCTTTTTTTCCCCTCTTAACGGGAAAAATCCAAGAAACACTTCTCTCGTTTAACTTTCCCAGTGTGGATTTTCACATATCTGATCACTTCAGACATCTGATCAGTTTTGTGATATAATAGGTGTACTGTCGAACATAATTCCAAAATACCTCGTAGCCTTAATATCCATGATAAGAATCTCCTTCACATGATTTGCAAGGACATTTATAAATGCATTTTGGGTTTCTGGTGAAAGTTAAGATGCAGGTGCTTTTACTGTAGATAGCATCTCAACCATTTCAAGAAAGTTTCCTTTATTCAGTGAACATTCATCTTCGTTGTGGCCACGAAATGACAGATTTTTCTTTGCAAGAAACAATGGGATGTCCAGCAACCTGTGCAACTTATCCCCCCACTTTTTCTTCTCTCTGTCCATCAGAGCAATAATTTTTGCATCAATTGTTTTGTGTAGCCTAAGTCCTGCTACCAATGTCCACTTTTCCAGGCTCTTCCGATGCCTCGTGATTATTTAATTTTTTTTTTTTTTTTTGCCTCAGTTTCCACAACCTATCAAAGCCAGTAACAAATTTGGTTGTTGTTTCTGTAACATTAACAGCAAACAATCTGCAGCAAAAACAGTAAAAGTTCTGACTGACGAGTGAATAAACCATCAGCGACCGCAGTATTTTCTCGCCATTCGGCATCATCCTGTTGAACCATTGTATTGTTAGTTGGCGCACACCTCCTTTAGATTTCGCATCTTGCCTTGTAACCACTCTGAATGGTCCGTCCTTGTCACCACGCTGAATGGTCCGTCCTTGTCACCACGCTGAATGGTCCGTCCTTGTCACCACGCTCAATGGTCCGTCCTTGTCACCACGCTGAATGGTCCGTCCTTGTCACCACGCTGAATGGTCCGTCCTTGTCACCACGCTGAATGGTCCGTCCTTGTCACCACGCTGAATGGTCCGTCCTTGTCACCACGCTGAATGGTCCGTCCTTGTCACCACGCTGAATGGTCCGTCCTTGTCACCACGCTGAATGGTCCGTCCTTGTCACCACGCTGAATGGTCCGTCCTTGTCACTACGCTGAATGGTCCGTCCTTGTCACTATGCTGAATGGTCCGTCCTTGTCACCACGCTGAATGGTCCGTCCTTGTCACTATGCTGAATGGTACGTCCTTGTCACTATGCTGAATGGTCCGTCCTTGTCACTATGCTGAATGGTCCGTCCTTGTCACTATGCTGAATGGGCCGTCCTCGTCACCACGCTGAATGGTCCGTCCTTGTCACTACGCTGAATGGTCCGTCCTTGTCACAATGCTGAATGGTACGTCCTTGTCACCATGCTGAATGGTCCATCCTTGTTACTATGCTGAATGGTCCGTCCTTGTTACTGTGCTGAATGGGCCGTCCTCGTCACCACGCTGAATGGTCCGTCCTTGTCACCACGCTGAATGGTCCGTCCTTGTCACTATGCTGAATGGTCCGTCCTTGTCACTATGCTGAATGGTCCGTCCTTGTCACTATCGACTTACCAGGCAGGAACAGTGATACGACTTACCAGGCAGGAACAGTGTATGCTGAATGGTCCGTCCTTGTCACTATGCTGAATGGTCCGTCCTTGTCACTATGCTGAATGGTCCGTCCTTGTCACTACGCTGAATGGTCCGTCCTTGTCACTATGCTGAATGGTCCGTCGTTGTCACCACGCTGAATGGTCAGTCCTTGTCACTATGCTGAATGGTCCGTCCTTGTCACTATGCTGAATGGTCCGTCCTTGTTACTACGCTGAATGGTCCGTCCTTGTTACTATGCTGAATGGTCCGTCCTTGTCACTATGCTGAATGGTCCGTCCTTGTTACTACGCTGAATGGTCCGTCCTTGTTACTATGCTGCATGGTCTGTCCTTGTTACTACGCTGAATGGTCCGTCCTTGTTACTACGCTGAATGGTCCGTTCTTGTTACTATGCTGAATGGTCCGTCCTTGTTACTACGCTGAATGGTCCGTCCTTGTTACTATGCTGAATGGTCCGTCCATTTTACAATGCTGAATGGTCCGTCCTTGTTACTAAGCTGAATGGTCCGTCCTTGTCACCACGCTGAATGGTCCGTCCTTGTTACTACGCTGAATGGTCCGTCCTTGTCACTACGCTGAATGGTCCGTCCTTGTCACTACGCTGAATGGTCCGTCCTTGTCACTACGCTGAATGGTCCGTCCTTGTCACTACGCTGAATGGTCCGTCCTTGTCACTACGCTGAATGGTCCGTCCTTGTCACTACGCTGAATGGTCCGTCCTTGTCACTACGCTGAATGGTCCGTCCTTGTCACTACGCTGAATGGTCCGTCCTTGTCACTACGCTGAATGGTCCGTCCTTGTCACTACGCTGAATGGTCCGTCCTTGTCACTACGCTGAATGGTCCGTCCTTGTCACTACGCTGAATGGTCCGTCCTTGTCACTACGCTGAATGGTCCGTCCTTGTCACTACGCTGAATGGTCCGTCCTTGTCACTACGCTGAATGGTCCGTCCTTGTCACTACGCTGAATGGTCCGTCCTTGTCACTACGCTGAATGGTCCGTCCTTGTCACTACGCTGAATGGTCCGTCCTTGTCACTACGCTGAATGGTCCGTCCTTGTCACTACGCTGAATGGTCCGTCCTTGTCACTACGCTGAATGGTCCGTCCTTGTCACTACGCTGAATGGTCCGTCCTTGTCACTACGCTGAATGGTCCGTCCTTGTCACTACGCTGAATGGTCCGTCCTTGTTACTACGCTGAATGGTCCGTCCTTGTTACTACGCTGAATGGTCCGTCCTTGTTACTACGCTGAATGGTCCGTCCTTGTTACTACGCTGAATGGTCCGTCCTTGTCACTACGCTGAATGGTCCGTCCTTGTCACTACGCTGAATGGTCCGTCCTTGTCACTACGCTGAATGGTCCGTCCTTGTTACTATGCTGAATGGTCCGTCCTTGTTACTACGCTGAATGGTCCATCCTTGTTACTATGCTGAATGGTCCGTCCTTGTTACTGTGCTGAATTGTCCGTCCTTGTTACTACGCGAAATGGTCCGTCCTTGTTACTACGCTGAATGGTCCGTCCTTGTTACTATGCTGAATGGTCCGTCCTTGTCACTATGCTGAATTGTCCGTCCTTGTTACTACGCTGAATGGTCCGTCCTTGTCACTACGCTGAATGGTCCGTCCTTGTCACTACGCTGACCGGTCCGTCCTTGCTCTAAAACGAGGTACTCCATATTTTAATAATTTCAGACCGAAAATGATCTTGAACTGGTACATTCCAGAGAGAAGCATCTGATAAAATATGACAGTTTTTGTCATTAACCATTTCATTTACAGTTTCTTGGTTTGAATCAACTTTATCAGCAGACATTTCTGTTACCGAACAGTTTAATGGGAGTTGAATAATGACTGTTTTTCTGACCTAATCATAAGGTCAACTCATTCTGACGTATGAGCTTTGAACTTTTAGTAAAGCACGTATTTGGATTGCGTGTGCTCGGTTATCCTTTTATGAATCTCGGTTAAACCGAGCAATTTTTCAATTTGGCGTCACCCTAAAATGGTGTCACCCGGTGTGGTCCGCATCCCCCGCACCCGCCAGCTACGCCACTGAGTTAGTTTAAGATTATTTGAGATAAAGTTTGTATATACAGAGTGGGCCAATAAAAGTTAGAACATCTCGTAGCATATGAGTTATTTCAAAATATAATTTAATTAATTATAATTCTTCATGGATTTTTCATTTTTTTTTTTTTTTTTTTGCAAAATATTTAGCTAATCAGAAATCATGTTCAGTGTGTCCTCCTTCCTTCTCAACGACTTTTTCCAAGCCTCGACGTCACTCGTGTATGCTTCTGTTAATGAAACGTTGCCCTAGATTTCGCCATTCCTCGATTATTGCCAACTTGAGCTGCTCAACTGTTGTAAATTTTCACCGAAGGTAGACTTTTTCTTGCAAAGCACCCCATATGGCATAATCTACTGGGTTTAAATCTGGGCTGTTCGGTGGCCACATGTCTGGCTCGATGAAGTAAATATTCTTCCGACGAAGAAAGTTGATTGTAGTTCTGGCTGAGTGAGATGGAGCTCCGTCCACCTGCAATGTCCAGTTATGGCGACCACATTTCGCTTGAATGTCAGGCAACAATCTTCTTCTGAGAACTTGGTCACAATAATATTCACTGTTTACTTTGGCGCCTGGTTCAACTAAATATGGTGTGATTAAATCACATTTTTACGAGATGTTCTCACTTTTATTGGCCCAGCCTGTTTATATATATTTATAATAATAATACTTTTTTTTTTTTGAGATGGCAACCCTGGATGGGGGTATCTTTCTTTGTGTGAAGATTTGTGACGATGAAAATGAGGGAAGGGGGTTTTAAAAGTCATCCGAAATAGCATGACATCATTTACGGATGGCCGCCAAGACAATAAAGGCATAAAGGTAATGCTGTTAGGTTTCAAACGTTTTTTTTTTTGTGGTTTGCATATGTTTGTTTTGTATCTTTCTTGTGAGAATAAAGTGAATTTTTTTTTGTAAAAACTTTATTTTTTCTAAAATGAAACAGTCTTTCTAATTGGCCACATAATAATATTTTGTCCAGTAGAATTCGATGTTGTATTTTAAACACTTCCGTAATAATGGCTTCCGTAGCAAAAATAAATTTGTGTTCTCTTTGTTGATTTTAATGTTCTAGTTAATGAGAGTAATTTCCAGTTTAACGGGGTAAAGAAATTAAATTTACCAGTTTTATTTTATATCTCTATTCCTACTATCGGTACTAATATCAACATGAGGATTAAAAAGTAAAGTTCACCTGTAACGTTCTTGGCAATCTTGGGGGTGAAAAATTATTATTCAGAGCTGAAAACAAGATTAGAAAAATATAGACCTAAATAAAGTCTAAAGAGAAAGTGAATAAGAGGCCTACCTAGCCTAGACTAGAATAGAGGCCAGAACTAGAAATTAAAATTTTCCTGCCGATTAACGAAAGATTGAAGGATCTAATCCACTTCCCCACTTATTAACTCAAATCGTATTAGTATTGTTGATTGTTCATTGTTGCAAAATATTTTGACTCCCTTATACTCCCTTATACTTATAACTTATACTTTAAAATGTATCCAATTCCAATGAATAGTTTTATTATTTTAAAATATTATTTAATATAATATAATAATAGGCCATAGGCAAATACTAAGTCAGTATCACTAAGTCAAGCGTAAAGTCCTACCTAAATTTAGTGCCCCTAGCCCTAACTCAGTAACTGGAGTGTAAATTTAACTCTAAATTTAGTCCCCTCTCCAAAATTATCCGTAAATTAAATTTAACTCTAAGCCTTCCCTCAGCTTAATGTTAACTCTCTAAACCTAAAAATCTATGACCTAATGTCAACCCTAAAACCACATGTAGGCTATATGTGTTTCCTACATTTACATTGTACTGTACAGAGAAAATCCTTTATTTGAAGTAAAATATTAGATTTATTTTTAAAATAATGAAAACCCTGCTTACAGTTTCATCAAATATATTTTTACTTTTACACACTGTAGGTTCCACCAAAAATAAAAGGCAGTGTCTACACGTCCGGCGCGCCGGACGTCTATCTCCCGCACTATGTGTCCGGCGACCAAGTCACATGACTGCCGTAACAAAGTGGCGAGAGATATCTTGTCGGGCAGCCTTGTCACGTGACTGCGAATAATTCAAAACTATTGTTAATTTTAAAATCTATTTCTCTACCGAGTAATGTACTGAGTATCTTGAATGCAAATAATAGAAAACATTTTTGTTTAGTTTGTTATTTGAGTTTGTGTACCAGTAATCCATTAAATAAATTAGGGGCCAGTGTGGAGTAGGCGTAGGCAACCAATAAAAGTTAAAGTAAAAGATTTCATTTTAAATTATTTCAATTGCTACAAAATATTTAAAAACTTCTCATGAAACTACTGTTGCTGAGGAACATGATAATACAAATATATACAAAATATTTTAATTAAAATGGGCAGAAAAAAATGACCCTATCCCCGGTATAGATCCTCAAACCTTCCTATCGTCAAGCAACCACTCTACCACAAGACCAGACAAGATGTAATAAACCGTACTTCGTTTGGAATTATAAAAACTACTAGCCGTCCGGCCATGTCCGGCGGTCACGTGACAAGCCGCCGGACATATATCTTGCCCACTACACGTCTGGCGCGCCGGACGTGTAGACACTTCGAAAATAAAATCCAAAAGTTGTCAGAAAAATAATACCCATTTGTTTTAAATATTATAATTAACCACCCATTGAAATATTAATTTAAAACATTCCATGTAAGTATTAATATTTAATAAAAGTTAACTCTATTAACAATCCAAGAATAAACAAATTAGAGAGAATCCTACACAGAAACTCAAATTTGCGTTCCCATCAGACATTAGCTGCCTAGCCCTAATGAACCCCCCACTAGGAGTGAGGGCTATTGACCTTTAAGTTATGAAATTTTTATTATTATAATAACCTAAAATAAGTCACAAGTTTATTTTCTAAGTTCTACAGTTCTTTTTGTAATTTAATAAACAAATTAGAAGTCCTTTTTTTTCAATTTTAAAATGCATTTTAATTTTTGTAGATCTGTAACTGCAAGACTTAGTTAAACTATTTGTAGGGATAGCGAGCACAAAAAATGGTTGGGAAACACTGAATATAGTATTTAAGCAATCCCAACAAAGGACTAATTCTATAATCTAACACACTACGAACTATACCAGTACTCGGCTCATGAGTATCAGTAACTTCAGTCAGCAAACAACAAGTAAAAAAGTTAAACATAACTCAAACACTATCATCAATAACACTAACTCAACTGTGACCACTATCAGTAATGACTCACACCAACTGATTACCGGGTACCTTAATGTCTACGCCTAGGTGTCATACAAATAGACCTGAGCCAGAACTTTTAGTCCTGGGTCTATTTTGATGCTTATTTTTTGTGCATTGGAATACCTTAAAATTCACTCAATTTTGTAGATAATTATGTGTGGAAAATGTAACCTAGTCTTTTTTTAAAATTGTAGGATCCATGAATAAATCAAAGTGATCCAAAATGATGGAAAGGAAAGTTCGTCTGAAGACAGTAAACCCTTTTATTACTTGCTACATCTGCAAAGGGTATTTAGTGGATTCAACAACTATTACAGAATGTCTCCACACATGTAAGTATATTTCATTATGGTCATTTGCGGCATAGAAATTTGAAAGTACTATTGTGTCGATCAATGACATAGTTTAGTTTCTCATGCAAGGAAAGGGTTTTCATGCAATTATTAATTTGAGTATTTTTAATTTCATGACTTCAAATGCTACTAGAGTTTAGAATTAAGAATTACAACTGTACTTTTTTAAAATTTCAGTTTGCAAAAGTTGCATTGTAAAATATCTGGAGGAGAAAAACACCTGTCCCAAATGTCATATTGAGATCCATCAGAGTTATCCTCTAAATTATATTAGGTAAGTAACCAAACACTTTCTATAACTGCCTTGGGAAGCCAGTATTAAGTCAATTAAGACCTTTCATTATATGAAAAATAAAAGATTCTAATTAAGATGAACTCATTAATGCTATGGTATTAAACCAATAGTCTTAATATTATCAACTATAAATAATGAGATACTATTGTATTTTATTTGATATAAATTTAACTAATTACACAAATAACTTGAGATTTAAGACAAAAGAAGAAAATCTTTGGCTTAAAAAAAAAATTTTTTTTTTCACTTATGACAATTTTTTTTGTCAATTGATGGGGGAAAAAATTAATGTGACCTAATAAAAATTTATTTTAAAAAATGACACCTTCATGATTTTGACTGAAAATTGAGGTGACATCAGGTCTCCAAAATATAAAATGGTTTTCAAATAATGTATGATTCATATTATCATCTTCAGTTTTGACAGAACAATGCAAGACATTGTTTACAAGCTGGTTCCAAATCTACAAGAAAGTAAGAACATTACTTCTTCTTAAAAAATGTTAATGTTAATAAAACATTTTAAATTTAGTATTAAAATGAATACTTATCAGAACTTATCTTCAATTCTTTTGTTATTGATAATTCAGTTGTGTATCAATCTATTCTTTAAATAGTTGTTTTGTATTTTAATTTAATTTACTGCAATGTATTATTGTGTTAATAAAGCTTAAAACTCTAATTACCAGTACATTTATTTTTCCAGAGGAGTTCCAGCGTATGCAGGAGTTTTACAGGAAAAGAGGATTATCTGTTCCTTCAAGTATAGGTAAGTTTTTATTATTAGATGCTTACCGGGTATAATGTTTCTCGTAACACGGGTTAAGCCTAGAACCTACAGGCTTTCTTTTCTGATATATTTACTCAATTTGAGAACACTATAACTTTTAATAAATAAATAATATTGTGTAATCTATGTTTCTATTACATACAAATTGAAAGTTTAAGCTTTCATTAAGTTCAAATAATATACATTAGCCTTTTGACATGTATAATCTTTTAAAAATTCTTTATACACATATAAATAAATAAAAAATTTACTATTGTTAGTAAAAAAAATAGTTTTATTTCAAAGGCCCTTCACGTTTTACTTATTTATAATGCTACCAGCTACGATATCCACAGTAAATGATGAAAACAGTAATGAGTGCAATAAAAGTCAAAGTCAAGAAAACAATGAAGATGAAGATCACCATCGAAGTGATGAGCAAGTCAACATCTGTTTAGAGTGCCGGGCTCCAAATCTTAAGCACCTTAAGAGAAGATACCTTCGCATCTCAACTCAGGCCACCATCACACATTTAAAAAAATTTGTAGCACTCAAATTGTATAATAATATTAATAGGTTTAAAGAGGTACGAATATTTAGTTAACATTCTGTTAAGTTAGAAGTGAAGGTTAAATTTTAAACATTTTTTTTTCTATAAGTAATAACAAAAAAAATAAGATGTTGTCAAATAGGTAATTTAATTTATTTTCAAATAAACAGGTGGACATTTTGTGCAATGAAGAAATTTTAGGCAAAGATCATACTTTAAAATTTGTGGCTGTGACAAGATGGAGATCAAAGGTAAGAAAATAATTTACAGTTTCTTTGATTAGAAATAGAAATACTTGTAATTGATGGTGCCCAAAAGCAACCATATAAAAAATGCCTCATATTGGTTTAAAGATTATTTTTTTTCAAGCAGGTAATTATTTCCTGATGTTTCAATTTATTATAATTTTTTACCCTTAACTTTTTGCAGGACGCCCCATTGTTATTACATTACAGACAGAGAGTTGCTGACTTATGACACAGTTTGTACTATAGCTTGTAGATAAGATTGTGGTTGAAAAAGTATGAGAGAATGATGTGAACACAATCATGCATTTACCCTTCAACCATGTTTGTAAACAAAGTTTTCATTAAGCACGAGTTATATTTAAGCTTGATACAGACTAACAAAAGCAACTGAGTTATATTTAAGCTTGATACAGACTAACAAAAGCAACAAAAAGGAAACAAATACATTTAAAACATTTTAAAGAATGGGAAAAAATGAATCCAAGTACTTGGTCAATTATTTCTACTTGAACAGAGTTATGCTTTATTATTTCTCAAGCAAGCTTAAGCACTTCTTGTGCTCTATTGATACTTTTTTCACAAGCTTGATTGCAGTCTCGTTTGTTTAACTTTGTCTTTTATTAAGATAATAAAGCATTTAGTTTTGGGGGGATTATGATGTGCTTAATATGGATCATATTGGAAGAGGCAAAACATATTTTGCAATAAGATTTTTAAAAAGTGAGAAATCCATTCCTCCCACAGCTGTGTTCACTGGAAACAATATATATATTTTTTTAATACTTGTGTTGCCCACAAAGCGTATTTAAAAATCTCTGTTCAACATTTTAGTTATATTCAAAGAGTCATTAATTAATTCTTTTCAAAAAGTCCATCAAAGAAAAGCTGTAGAAATTTGTGACCATTTGAGAATTGGTAAAGTCTGAAGATGTCAGAAAACTTAGATCATTGGTATTAACAAGATTATTATTGCAATCTGTTTTTAAAATGTGCAGTCATATTCCTGTATAAATCCTTATAAATTGATGCAATGAAGATTGTAATGCAGTAAGTCAATTTGTGCAATACATTTTGTATTTGCCGAACCCACTGTTAATGACATTCAGTTGCAGTTTGACACCAGTTTTCAGATAAAGATGTCTCACTAGATTAAAATAGCTCATATATGCACTTTGTAATCTTATGTTTTATCAGTATCTCAGGGGAGATCTGCACACTTAGCAATGGTAAATATTTGAAAATAGCAATGGTAAATATTTGAACAATCATTTTTTTTTATCAAAACTTGCAAAAATTTTCAAGTGCTGAGGTTACTGAATAAATCATGCATTATTTCCCTTCTGTTCCAAAATTATTTTGAGACACTAAAACTATACTTGTACTCTTTTTTTTTTTTTTTAAGAGTGTTGCCTTATTTATGGTGCATGTTCTTTAGAAATAAGAGATGCGATTCCCGATTAACTGGAGAATTTTCCCAGCTATGATATGGGAAATATGAACTGGCACAAAACTAAGAATATGTTTCTGACAAGATATTTTTACATATGCAAAGGTTTTAGAAAAAGTGAATTATATTTCTTGCACTTGCATAGCAATATTTCATAATAAACTGTATAATTTTGCATTTCTAATTCTATTGCTATTTGCAATGGATCAATTTTTTTGTCAAATTAATTTGTTTTCTAGACTTTGATTGTATTTTCCAAGAGATAAAATTTGTTGATGTATGATTAAGTCCAGTGATTGTATTTACTTACTGTGTGATCTCTGGCTGAAGTTATTTTTATTGATAAATGTCTTATTTCCCCTGACCAAACATGATGTGATTCCCTAGGTATGAAATATTGTGTCATATAGCATGACCAACTTTTATATTAAAATACTTGACATATGATTTTTCTGTTGGTTTTTTCTACTGAATTAATAATAATACTTTCTGCATCATTTGAGTTTTTTTATTGGACATCAGAACATTAATCAATAATTATATATAAATTAAATACAAAAAGGAAACGTTGAGAAATTGTTAATAATGCTATACTTTTACAACTTATCTTGTAAGTGAAATTGTTTTCTATGTCTTCATCCAGAGAAAAAGTCACTCTTACTATAACTATTAGATCCTAAAAATTTACTTCAAACAACAAATTTTTGTTTAATTACAAAAATGTTTTATTTTTAAAAAATATAAAACATCATATATTATAATGACATTCTCTTGAAAGGAAATCTTGCAACATGCCATACATTCTAATGCTGAGAAAGATTTTTTTTCCATTTAAATTAGTTTACTCATACTTAAGAAACTCTTAATACCGAGAGATAATCTTTTGAAGATCATACAATTATTTTAAAATTATATATTCATCAAAGTTCACAAGATAAGTTTACAAAATGAAGATTCTGAAGAATAAATATTTTTAAGTCAAAATAGCACTAGCAATATCTAACTGGCTGTTTGTTCTGCTATTAATAACATTTATTGTTGGCTCTGCTGTGCGAGAAATCCCCATTTATTCAAAGGCAGACTGGGATAGCCTAAGAAGTGCAACGACTGAGCTGAGTTCAAACATGCATGAGATTCAGGGTAATGCGACAACAGAAGAGCTGTGGATGAAATTCAAGACAACAATCACTGATGCAGTGATGAAATTCATACCACACAAGACCTCAAAACCTAAGACAAATCAACCATGGGTTACGGCTGAAATCCAAAGGCTCATACACAGGAGAGACCGCCAGTACAAACGTATGAAGAAGAATGGGTCGGTCGAACTAAAAGCCGAAGTACTGAGGCTC